CCTTCCCTCTGAGATTTGTCAGTCTTTTCTATGCTTCTATGTCACTGAATCTATTTTGTTCATCAGTTTATTATGTTCTTTAGATACCACATATAAGTGAGATCATGTGATGTTTGTCTTTCTCTGCCTGGTTTATTTCACTTAGCATAATTTTCTCCAGGTCCATCCATACTGTCCCAAAGGGTAAGAGATCCTTCTTCTTTACAGCTGCATAGTATTCAATGGTGTAAACGTCCCACAGCTTTTTTATCCACTCATTTACTGATGGGCGCTTGAGCTGTTTCCAGATCTTAGCTATTGTAAATTGTGCTGCTTTAAACATAGGGGTGCATATATTCTTTCTGATTGGTGTTTCAGGATTCTTAGGATATATTCCTAGAAGTGGGATCACTGGGTCAAAAGGCAGTTCCATTTTTAATTTTTTGAGAAACCTCCATACTATTTTCCATAGTGGCTGCACCAGTCTGCATTCCCACCAGCACATACCCTTTGTCTTACATCTCCAATCTGGTGAAATTTTCTTCCTCCTTTGAAATCTGCCAATCTCCTTTACTACTAATATTCATCAATTTCAAGTCTCCCTCCTGTCTCTTTCAATAGAATAGATGGGACCAAGATTATGTGCCAACTAGAATTTTAGCAAGCCATACGTAAGAGGGAGAATGAATATCTCATATTCTCTCTAGAGACATGACATTTGGTTAACTGACTCCAGAGTCCACTTTTTTTTTCCTAGTATACCTTAGAGGAAGTAAGAGAAAAGTTTGCTATACCAAAAGTGTGGGCCTTAGCTCAGCACTATAGTTTTCACTTGGGATTTTGTTAGAAATGCAGAGACCTAGACTCACCCCAGACCTTCTAAATTAGAATGTGAATTTTAAATATCCCCAAATGGTACATATGCATGTTAAAGTTTGAGAAGCATTGCTCTACATAGCATGGAATGGTGCTTTTAGGCTGAATTGCAAAAGGGGGACAGAAGCTTTTTTATATTCATCTATAGTCATAAGTGCGTTTCTGTCCATATTTCCCCTGGATTCCTCAGTATCCACTCTGACACTTGAATATTATATGTGTCCACTTCCCAAGGAACTGGGAAAGGATACTTTGATCTGCCTTTATCAGATGCCAGCTGAAAATAAGTTAAAATGTGAAGTTAATTATGTTAAGTTATAATTTTTTCTGAAATATTAGTTGCAAATATTTTTTAAGTTATAATTTTTGAACTGCAAGAAGAGTTTATTAACATTTCTTTCTTATTGTCACCAGGAAAAGTTCATACTTAAAAATTACATGAACAGTCAAACTGACATCAGCAGTGATATGAGGGGCATTCTTGTGAACTGGTTGGTGGATGTGCAGGTGAGCCTGGCAACTCCTGCTTTAAGGAGCTGTTGTTCTGTTTATTGATTACTCATTCAGCACTGCCAGATTCCAAACATTCCAAAATTTCTGGGTCTACAGAGCTGAATAAGCCATGGTTCCTGCCTTTGGAAACTCATGATATAGGGGGCAAGCTAAGACATGCAGACAAATAAGTACAATACATAGTAGAATACACCAAGTACTATAAGAATGTTATAAATTAGATACGGGAGAACCCAGTAGAAGAAGAGATTATTTCTAGAAAAGGCAATGAAGATATGGCAGTTTAAGCCCTCTTAAAATCTTGTAAAAGTGATTTGTATATGGGTAAGTGACAAACTCTTTCAAGTTTGGGTGGGATGGGTAATAGGAAGGACAGTGTAGTACCAAACATGGCAGGTAGCTGTTTGTCCAGGGTTGATTATTGAGGGAATATTATAATGGATATATAATTATCACTTTACACTAAGGAAACATAGCCCAGAATAGTACCTGGCACATCGTAGGGTGCCAATCAATACATGTTGAATGAATGGAATTGAATGGATTGTTATGGAGTTTGCACAGAAATATAACTCATAGTCTATGCCCAGCAGAGTGTTACTATATAATTGGGGAGAAAGGGTAATATAGTTTAATATCTTTTAAGTGCCAGAGAAGTGGTTCAGACTCACTTTGGAGTGACAGACCAGGGAAATGTGGTAGATTTGGACAGCAGCAAAGCATCAGAATGTTTCTTATCTGATGGAAATGATGGAGAGTAATAAATTAGATAAGAGCAGAATATGGGGAGATCTTAAATAAATAAAATTGATCCCAAAGACTGTTGATCATTACCAAGCTAGAACAAGATTTCTAGTGGACTGCCAGCAGACTTTGTTCTGATCAGCATTTTTATTGGTGATGTAGATGAGAACAGAGAAGATCTACTCATCAAATTCATGGGTAATTGAAATTAGGAGTGGGGATAGGGAATAATAAATGAATAACAGAGATAAAGTATCTGTACCAGCTATTTTGATGAACTGAATCTTTTTTAATAAAAGCTTTTGTTACTTTTATTGCACAAAAATTCACATTTGTTATAGTAAGGTAAAAAATTATAATTACCTTTGATCCCACAACCACTGTTAATATGTGTATATATTACCTCCCACTTTTAAAGTGGTGGTTATCCACTAGGGATGCACTTTTAGTGCACAGATCACACAATCACAGAATCCCAGGTTGTATCCCACACTTATCAAATCAGAATTGTGGGAGTGTGCCCGAGGCACACATTTTTATAAAGCTCCACAAGTGATGCTAATGTACATCTTTTGATAGAGAATCACAGTTGACTGTTTTGGTATGTAGTTCTATGAAATTTTAGCATTTGAAATAATGGATTCATAATCTGCAAAAATAGTATAGAGAGGTCCTGTGTACCCTTTACCTTTCTCTCAATGATAACATTTTGCATAAATATAAGATAGTGTCACAATCAAGGTCCACAAGCCTTACTTAAATTTCATCAGTTTTACATGCACTTATTTGTGTGTGTGTGTTCTATATAATTTTATCACACATGTGAATTTTGTAAGCATCACCATCATCACCACAGTTAAGATACAGAATTATTTCATCACTACAAGGATCCCTCATATTACTCTTTTATAACCACAGCCATCTCCCTCCTCTCCCTTTCCTGTCCCTGGAAACTCCTAATTTATTCTCCACCTTTATAACTTTTTAATATTATGAACATTATATAAGTGGAATCATACAATATGTAACATTTTGAGATTTACTACTCACCATAATTCCCTTAAGATCCATCCATATTGTTGTGTGTATCGATAGTTCATTCCTTTTTTGTTTTTGAGTAATATTCCATGGTGTGGAAGTAGCACCGTTTGTTTAATCATTCACCCATTGAAGGACATTTGGGTTTCCAGTTTTTCAGACTCTGAAAAGTACTGCTATAAACATTCATGTACAGGTTTTTATGTGAATATAAGTTTTCATTTCCAACATCAATACCCAGGAATGGGATTGCTGGGTGGTATGATAGGTGTATGTTTAACTTAATGAGAAACTGCCACAGAGTTACTGCACTTATGTAACTTACATTCTCATGTAAGATGTATGAGAGCTCTAGTTTCTCTGTATCCTTCCTGGTGCTTGTTATTGTTAGTGTATTTTTAAAAATTTTCACCATCTAATAGGTGTGTAGAGAAACCTCATCATAGCTTTAATTTGCATTCCCCCAATGGCTAATAATAAACATCATCCTTATTTGTCATCTATATATACTCTTTGGTGAAGTGTCTAAGTGTTTTACCCAGTTTTAAATTGGGTGGCTTATTTTCTTTGTATCAAGTTATGAGAGTTCTCTACATATTCTGGATACAAATTCTTTGTTGGATATGTGACTTACAAATATATTCTACCAGTCTGTAGCCTTTTTATTCTCTTATCTGTCTTTCATAGAGCAAAAGTTTTAAATTTTGATAAAGTCCAGTTTTTCAATGTTTTCTTTATGGATTGTGTATTTTATGTCATGTCTAAGAACTCTTTGACTAAACTAGATCATGAATATTTTCTCCTATATTTTATCTAAAAGATTTATAGTTTTAACATTAAATCTATAATCCCTTCTGAGTTAATTTTTGTATAAGGTATAAAGATTTTGAGGTCAAAGTTCATTTTATTTGCATATGGATGTACAATTGTTCTAACACCGTTTGTGGAAAAATATACTTTTTTCAGTAGTTTTTGTGCCTTTGCCAAAAGTCAGTTGGCCTTATTTGTTTGGGTCTATTTCTATACTTATTTCTATACTCTATTCTGTTCCATTGATCTCTGTGTCTGTTCTTTTGCCAACATCATAGTCTTTATTTCTGCAATTTTATAGTAATTCTTAAAACTAGGTATCACGATTCTTTCAACTCTGTTCTGTCTTTTTTTCAAAATTGTTTTAGCTATTCTAATTCCTTTGCCTTTCTCTATAAATTTTAGAATCGGTTTGTCCATATCTACAAAAAAAATCCTGCTGAGTTTGATTGGAATTGAGTTACATTTTGTACAGAAAAGAGTTAACATAATGGGCGTAATACTGCTGTTCTTAGAAAGGCCTGTTTGCAAAGTTGGCCCTTGGCTGGCATCTGGGAACTTGACTGGTAAACAGTTCCCTACATTGCTATAAAACCCTCCCTTAATGATAACTGTGCTTAAACTCTGTGCAAACAATGTGGTTTATTCCGAATACCTGCTTTTCTTCTGGGAGTTTGGAATTTTGGTACATGCTAAGCAGAGAGTATTGACGTGACCAGCTCCCAATAAAATCTTAGGCACTGAGTCATTAATGAGTTTCCCTGTAGACAACACTTTACACGTATTGTCACATCTCATTGCTGGAGGAATTATGTGCGTCCTAAACAACTCTACTGGGACAGGACTATTAGAAGCTTTTGTTTTTTGCCAAACTTTGCGCATGCTTCTTTTCCCTTTGATGATTTTGCTTTGTATGTTTTGCTATAATAAATCATAGCCATGAATAAGACTATATGCTGAGTCCTGGGAGTCCTCCTAGGAATGTGATCTTGAGGACCCCCAACACATCTTTAGGTGGAGTTAAATAGAATTGACATCCTTTCTATGTTGAATCTTTCAACCCATGAATGTATTATGTCATTTATTTAGTTACTTTATTTTTTTACACCATACAGATCCTGTACATGTTTTGTTAGATTTATACCAAAATATTTTATTTTCTTGGAGCTATTATAAATAGTACTTTTTAAAATTTAAGTTTCCAGATTTACACTGCTGTTATGAAATATTGATATTTGTGTTTTGACCTTGTATTCTGACCTCGCTAAAACTCACTAATTCTGAGTTTTTTGTAGATTTCTTGATGTTATCTACATTTTTAAAACAGTTTTATTTCTTTCCAACCTGCATGCTTTTAATTTCATTTTCATGTTTTATCGCACTGCATAAGACTTCCATTATGATGTTGAATAGGAACAGTAAGAGTGCACAGCCTTGCCTTATTCCTATTCTTAGGAAGAGAGCTGTTAGTCTTTTACCACTAGTATAGTCTTAACTCTAGAGTTTTTGTAGATACCCTTGATCAGGCTGAGAAAGTTACTTTCCATTCCTAGTTTGCTGATATATATTTATCATACATGAATGTTAAAATTTTTCTTGCATTTATTGATATGACATTTTTGTTTTAGACTGTGAATATGGTGGATTACATTGACTGATTTTCAATATTGAAACAACCTCATATTCCTAGGTTAAATACCACTAGGTCCTGGTGTATTATTCTTTTTATATACTGCTAGATTTTATTTGCTAATATTTTGTTGAGGATTTTTGCATCTACATTTCTGATGGATGTTGGCCTGTAGGTCTGTAGTATTCTTTTTCCCTCCCCTCCCCTCCCCTCCCTTCCCCTCTTTTTCCTTTTTTTCTTTTTTTTGCCTCGCCTCGCCCCTTGCCTCCCCTCGCTTTCCCTTTCCCTTCTTCCCTTTCCCTTCCTTTTCCTTTTCTTTTTTTCTTCTTCTTTTTTTTTTTACTGCCTTTGTCTATTTTTGGTATGAGAATGATACTGGCTTCATAAAACAATTTGGGAAAGTATCCCTCCCTCTTCTATTTTTGGGAAGAGATATATGGAATTGATGTTATTTATTCTTTAAATGTTTGTATAATTCACAAGTGAAACCATCTGGGCCTGAAGTTCTTTTTCTTTTTGCCAAACAATTTTAACTCAAAATATACTTTATTTAATAATTATAAGATTATTCAAGTTATCTATTTCATTTAGATGACTTGGTAGTTTGTGGTTTTCAAATAATTGGTCTGTTTCATCTTAAGTTGTTGAATTTATGTGCATAGAGTTGTTTACAGTATTCCCTGTATTATTTACTCCTTCATTCTTGATATTTGGTGATTGTTTTTTTCTCTCTTTTTGTTAATCCATCTTTCTTGTAGTTTATAGATTTTAT